TTGAGTTGCATGAGCATTTTATATATTTTGGATATTAACCCCTTATCAGAAATCTCGTTGACAAATATCTTCTCCCATTCAGTAGGCTTCCTTTTTTTTTTATTGATGGTTTCTTTTGTTGTGAAAAAACTTTTAAGTTTGATGTAGTCCCATATAGAACACACAGAGTTTAAATTACTGCCCTCCTCCTTTCCTCATTGGATTGCTGTCTCCCACCCTGCCCCCTAGGAGCAGAAGGGGATGAAATCATTCTACACTCCCAGCACTGGCCCACCTCAGCCAGAGGGCTGGGGCACCCTCCTGAGTGAGCTAAAGGGCAGAGAGTATTTTCAAGCAGTCATATGTTTTACCCAGCTGGAATCTCTACCCCTCTCCGCCCACCAAAGCATTCCTTATTAGGGAAAGCTGCATCCAAGTCCTCTACTTTGTTTCTCTTGGGGTACTCGGGGTGGTGGCAGCATGCATGATACTCCAGGAATCCCAGGTATGCAAGATCCCAGCAGGCTCATGGCATGAAGCAGATCCGCCACGCATGGTTCCCCACCAACAGTCAGAGGACATTTCTCCCCTCCGGCCCACCCACCACCCCCACAGTGTGCTCCCCAATTTCTCTCTCCTTCGGAGGAGCTCCTACACCAGAGGCTCAAGGACCAGGGTTTCCTGTGTCCAGAATGGCAGCTGGCAGAGCCCAGCCTACCACACTGACCGGAGGAATGCAACTGGGTTCCCCAGGAGTTGAGAGTCACCGAGAGGTAAGCAGGGGCGATTCTCATACTGCTCGCCACCTGGACAGTCTCAAGCATTTTCCATTTCAACCCAATTCATGTTTTCCTCCAATCTGCCTCGTCTTGACAAATGTCACTGATGCTCCCAGTTGTAGACATGCAGCAGACTCTCCCAACACAAAGAAACGAAGATAAAACCATGCCTTTTTTAATAAATGAGTCTAAGGTCCTCCAGTCTGGAGGTACAGGAGGACTCCCCATGTGAGAGAGGAAGGGGCAGGTGACACGACCCTGACTTTTAATCCTCAAGTGCTGGGGGCTTTCACATGAATCACCAACAAAGTTGCCTAGGAGGCTGAGACAGGGGGACTGTGTGAAGCCCCCATCACCACTGTGAACACTTACCATTCCTCTCAAGGACCCTTAGCACAGGCTGGGGTGTGTAAACAGGACACTCCAAGAGGCCTAGAAGTTACACGGCGCCCATAACCCAGATAATCTAGCCCACAGAGTGTTGTGGCTTCTGTGGTTCCTCTCTATTGTCCCCACAGGCAGTGTTTCCCAGATTCCTTGGATGGTAAACATTACCCCCCTGGAAATCTGGATTCATTGGGCCAGTCTAGAATGGAACTCAGGAATTTAACTTTTTCAACAATTATCATAGTTCTTATCATCGTGGATCCTTGCAGATCCTCACAGCCAGACTCCCTATCGTCTCTCTTCTGCTCTAGTAAGGCCACCTTCCGAGGATGATTTCCTATCTCTGGATCCATTCCTTTCCTAGTACCTGCCCTGGAATGATGGCCCCCTTCACAGGAGACCCACCACCCACATGGCCTCAGTCCTCTGTGTAGTATCCATATCAGAAGACCTACAGTTACATCACATGAGGATATCACAGAGGTCACCTTAACCCCTCCCGCCCCTCTGCCACCCCACTCCAACCTCTCAGGTGGAAACAGGACAAACATATTTACCTTTCCCCTGAGCTCTCAGTCTCTGAAAACCTATTTCCCTTGGCATGTCCCATTCCTCCTTAGCTCATAAATTGAAGAAATACCAAAGGGACTTTACCTCATCAAAAATTGCTTCAGTTTCAGTTGAACTGGTTGATTGGGTTAGTCCACTTAACTGATCCCAGGGGAGGACAAAGAATTCACAAGAAGGGGCTTTCATAGTGTAGAGGAAACATGGTGGCATAACCCACCTTATGTGTGTAGTCACACCTAAACTTGGAGACCTCATCACTGTTTCCCATAAGGTGGGGCATCACACCTTCCAATACCGCAGGAGGAAATCTGGAGTAAGATTCCTTATGCTGCTGATTGATGTTTGGTGTTCAAAAACAACTAACACACATGAAAAGACTTTCAACAGTATCAGACATTAGGGAAATTTCAAATCAAAACTGTAATGAGATACCACTTCATGCTAACTAGGATGGCTATAATAATCATAGTTTTCTAATAAACAAAATAACAAGTATTGGTGAGGATGTGAAAAAATTGGAACTCTTATACATTGCTAAAGGGAATGTAAAAAGGTGCAACCTCTGTGAAACAGTTTTGAGTTCCTCAAAAACTTAAAAGTTAGCATATGCTCTAGCAATTCCATTCCTAGGTATATACCCAAAAGAATTGAAAACAGCTGTTCCAGCAGATACTTGTACACAAATGTTCGTAGCTGCATTCGTCACAACAGCCCAACGGAAGAAACAACCCAAATGTTCGTCAATGGATGAGTGAATGAACAAAACTGGCACATACGTACAATGGACTATGATTCAGCTCTAAACAGGAATGAAGTCCTGATACGTATTACCATGTGGACGAATCTCAAAAACATTGTGCTAAATGAAAGAAGGAAGACACAAAATGTCACATATTGTATGATCCCACTTATATTAAATGCCCAGAAAAGCAGAAATACCCGGAGACAGAAAGTAAATTGGTGGCTGCCAGTGGATAGGGGGGGAAGAAGGGAATGGGGAGGGGCTGCTTAATGGGTATGTGTTTTTATGTTGGGGTGATAAAAATGTTTTGGAATTAGATAGAGGTGGCTGTACAACATGCGAATGTGCTAAATGCCACTGAATTGTTCACTTTAAATTGGTTGATTTATGTTACAGGCATACCTCGTAGATATTGTGGGTTTAATTCCGGACTCCCACAATAAAGCGAGTCACATGAATTTTTTTGTTTTCCCAGTGCATATAAAAGTTCTGTTTGACTATTAACTGTGCACTAGCATTCTGTCTAAAAAGTGTACATACCTTAATTAAAAAATACTTTATTGCTAAAAAATGCTAAGCTTGTCATCTAAGCTTGTTGGGAAAATAGTGCCAAGAGACTTGCTCAATGAAGGGTTGCTACAAAACTTCAATTGGTAAAGCACACAACATCTGCGCAGTGCAATAAAGTGAGGTATGCCTGTATGTGAATTTCACTTCGATTTAAAACAAAATGTTAATACATGTAAGGAAAAGAGAAAAAAAAAAGAAGGAACGGTCACCAGGTGGGTTTTCAGAAGCTGTCATCCTTTGCTAGAACTTTGATAGGCAAAGGATGCATCTTCCTATGACCAAATGATTCATGCCAGCTCCGTTGCCTGTGATTTCAGTCCCACGATAAAGATCCTCACACTGAGGGCCCCTCGCAATGCTGTGGGTTCAGTCCCCATTTTGCTGAATACCGTGGAGACTCATGGAAATAGAATAGACTTCCTTAACCAGAAGGTCAAACTCATACCTAAGCATTTCTAATTGCTTATTTAAGTTTATTAGCATATAAAAGTAATATACTCCATTACAAACCCCAACTCAGGCTCTTGATTATATATGAGAACCCATAAATGTTTAAAACTAATCCTACCTAGAAGTTTCAGCTTAATCATTTTAAACAAATAACAGCAGAAGGAAGTGGTGATAATCTACCCTCTGTTCTAATTTTTAAATGTGAATAATTAACCTTCCAGGGGAAAAAAAGCACAGAATTTTAAGAGCAATTCAATCCAATAAATGCTCAATTTAGAAACAGATCGGCACTGCTGGCACAGGCTGCCACCCCTGATTTATTGCAGTGGCAATTCCCATGCCCTCATGAAGTCATTACTTCAGTTAAACTCTTGGAGCATTAACGCCCTTAAGTTCTGCTTTCGGGCACTTAAATGCTGGATAATACTGATTTTTGTGGAGATTAGGGCTTGTATAAAAGGCATAAAAAATTCACATTTTTGCTACATCAAATTTTGCTAACCAAAGATGCTAAGTTACTACAGAGTTCAGAGTCTAAAAATCAGCTTCTCACAGGTAGAACTGCTACTACTTAGTGATAATTTCTTAAGGTTTATATCTAGAATTAAATAAATATGTATTATTGTACCCCACCATACAAAAGCTTTTGTTCAACCGTAGCCTCATAAGAATACAGGTCCATGGCCCAGATGGCTTGGCACCCATACATTATAACACAGAAATGCACATCTTTTCTGGACCTCTCTAGAGGAATCGCGTTACCAAAGTATCCCAAGAAATTTCGTCCCCAAAAGTGTCACTTCACTATAAGGAGGCTTCATGATGTCAGTATGCTGGTAATTGCCCCCGTGTAAATTACCTAATTACCTTCTTTCAAAATGAAAGAAAGAAAAAAAAAAGGAATAGAAAGAAGAGGAAAAAGGAGAAGAAGAGGAAGAAATAAAGAAACTAGAAGGGCAACCTGGTTTTTCTTCCCCAGAAGCAATTAACATTAGAGACAGAGTGGACCAAGCTAAACATTAACAACTGCTCCTGGATGGCCTTTGACAGCTCAGGGCGGTGACACATGCACCTGGCTTTCAGAAACCACCTGCAAGGGTTCAAAACCCAACCTCACCATTTAGAAGCATGTGACCTTGAATAAGTTAATGATCCTCTCGGAGCCATTTTTTCCTTCATCCACCAATAGAAATAATCCCACAGACCTCCTGGAGTAGTAGATCTAAGTGACAGAACCAGCTCAAGTGCCCAGCCAGAGGCGCTTTTCTTTCCTGGGATGTGAAGCACTAACAGCTTAAGCTGTGTAGAGGTTCAGAACAAGTCACCCCAAGAGGTACCTCAAGAGGCAGATTATTTTTATCTAAGGGCCACCGAGACCTTACAGGCTCAAGAGAAACATCTGCCCGCCTCGCCCTTTAATTACCTAGAAGAATTTGAATCAGGGGCCCTGCCCATAATAAGAGATTATCCGAGGTTAACTTTTTTTTTTTTAATCTATCTATAGGTTAGGGCAAACTACTAATTACTGAACATCTGCTCTTCTCATCGTGCAGCGACCCTCTGAAGCCCTTACCTTCAAGGATGAAGTGCCTTACGCCATTTTTAGCTGAAGCTATGCCTCCTTTTAACTTTCTGTCCCTGACCCTGTCACATACGTGGGGTCTCTGACCCACTCATGGATGTGAAGGTTTGTTACTGATGTTGATGCTTCACCAGGGAAATCAGAACATAGCCAACGCTATTGTATTTTTTTATTAAAAAAAAACAAATTAAATAAATTTCTATATAAAACTGATTCTATATAAAAATTGAACTGGAGTCCATAGTTCATGGTGGGGAAGGCTCAGAAGAGGGAGACAACGATGCGGTTGCAGTCGGTTCCTTTTCTTCGTATCTGGGAGGCAATTCAGATGAGAGCTGTGGCGCGTGTGAGATCTCCGAGGATGAAGTCGTCCCGGAAATAGTGTATATGGACACGTGCTCTCGCTCAGAGGCTGTGCGCTGGCCCTCGGGAGTTGGGGTCCTGCTGAAAAGAGAGCGAGAACCTGAGACGGAGGAGAGGGAAGAGCAACGCACCTCGAGGACGCTCTGTTCAAGTGTTTGGGGGGCATTTGCAAGGATCAAAGGAGTAATTTTATCCACCTTCTATTTCTTATAGATCTGTTTCAACTCCTTACCCCTTATACTTCCCTTAGAGCTGATTATAACACGAAGACAGTCTCACTCCTGTTGTCATTTCCTTTGTCATTGAAAAGACATGGAGTACAAATGTACAGATGTCATCCAAAAACAAAATACACACACAGACACACACAGACACAGTTATTGTTCTCTGCTATTTTGTCTTCTGAGGTGGCTAACATAACGTATACAAACTTATGCAAATAGAAAATGAAATTAGGCCAAAAACTTGAAGGAAACTGGAAGGCATACTGGTTAATGGAGTGGGCTCCAGCAACAGACAGACCGGCATCTGAATTTCCACTCTGCTGCTTTCTAGCTGTGTGACCTTGGGCAAGTTATTTAGCCTCTCTAAGCCTCAGGTTCCTCATCTGTAAAATGGGGATGATAACAGTGCCTACCTCCTGGTGGCTATGAGAATCACATGAGGTAATGCAGGAAAAGCCAGACTCTGGGATACAGGAATCATAATAGCAACAGTAGGAGTAGTTTTTAAGTTAATAGACATTTATTTTAGGGCTTGGAGAAGTTCATCATTGGAGAAAAGAGTAGAAAAAGTCACTAACAGTATTCTGCAAATGTCTGGAACCTAACCTCCCCCTTCATCCAGGCGGGGCAATTCCTACATTCGTTTCTGGTCGGATCTCCAGCTCACCATCCAGCAGGAGCCTGAGAAGAACATGTGCCTTAAACTGTGAGCGACCAGCTAAGGAAGCACCCATCCCCAGCATGCTCACTGTGTTTCTCGGGTCTTGCTTTTCACTGCTTTCAAAAATGCAACGTCTCGAAAGTCGATTTTCACTGAGTCCTGCTCATCCAGTTTGCCCTGTGAAACTTGGCAGCAATCCTTCCTTCACTTCCTACGTCCTGGTTCCCCATACAAGAAGGTACCAGAGCCTTGCCAGCCCTGCTCCTCCCGGGCACTTCCCAGCATGCCTTCCTGTCACGCCTGCCCCCCTATGGGTCTTCTGCAGGTCTCTAACTTGTTACCCCCCTGGTTTCAGCAACCTCTTCGCAGTTCCATCTCCAGCACCTCGTCTTTCCCGAGACCTAGCCTCTCCGATCTGCCTGAAGGGTCCACATTTTGCGACCCCTTCACCACAAGTAGCTCACCATCTTCTCTCTGGGACTTTGGACTTGTGTCCCACCTCCTCCTCAGTCAGGGACACGCCACTGTCCCTGTCCCTCACCCTTGAGATGATGATCTCTGCTATTCCTCGCTGTCATCTCCATTCCAGGTTGCCTTCCACATTCCCCCCTTTCTAACTACCACAGGTCCAGGCTCCTGTTACCACAGGCCTGTCCTTGAGACTTGGCCACCTCCAGCCTTTCCCCATGTGAACTCATCATTGCTTAGATTCCATTGCTCTGACTCCAGAACCTTCTACTGCATTCCCCTGCCTACAGGAAAAGCACTTAGGTTTCTGTTGTTTAATCTGACCCCAGGTACACCTCCTAATTTGTGGTACATGGGGAGCATGTGGGGTAGAGGTGTGGAGCTTGTATTTCTCCTCAATGAATCTGAGAAGGCTCAGAGGCCCTGAGTACAACTTGATGTTGATGGGAAAAGAACAGCTTTGGTCAGGTCAGGGTGCAGGCTGACTGTGCCAGTCACTCAAGTACCTCCATGAGATACTAAAACCGTTTGTACTTGTTGGAGGTCTCCTTGCACCCCCATACCTCTCCACGATCTAACGCAGCAAGCAGAAGGCCTCCCAATCCCTGCTCACTGCTCATCCTGGCTGATGGGCTGTTAAACATTTTGAGGGTCAGCCCTGCTAGGGCCACAGAAGACACCTGGGAAAGGCTCCACATTCACCTGGCATAACCACTTTTATGATTTTTCACTTAGGGGCTGCCCAGAGTTTCCTGAAAGGTAATGTCAGTAAAAAAGACACTCACACTCTGATGTCTAGTCCTGTAACACGGCCTTAAAGCTAATTTGGCCTGAATTCAGGTATAAGGCCTGAAAATGGTAAAATGCTACTCTCGAAGTTCAAATGGAAAGCCTTACCCATAGTTAAAAATACTGTAGTATGAAGGTGGATTTTCATTTGGAAGCAGACCGCTAGCCTCAGGACTTCGAGTTAGTGCAGACGCTGAAGACTCCGGAAAGTAAGGTGGTGGAGGGGGTGGGAATATTATCACGGCATCACCTAAGGAAACACAACATTTTGTTGAAATAGATGAGTAATAAATGCAAATAAATTAACAAGAGCAAAATAAATAAATTATGTATTTAGCCCATCTATAGACATGATCAAAACACCTGTGCTAGCTCCAGAATTTAAAAAAGTTGGGCAATCAAATTTACAGAGACAGAGGGTAGAGGTTTCCAGTGGCGGGGGACAAGGAGAATTGGAGTTTGTGTTTAATGGACGTCAAGTTTCTGTTTGGGATGATGAAAAACTTTTGGAAATTGATAGTGGTGACGGGTGCACAACATTGTGAATATGCTTAATGCCACTGTACACTTAAAAATGGTTAGAATGGTAAATTTTATGTTATATATATTACCACAATTTTTTTAAATAGTGGGCCTATATTTCACAGCAAGTCTGAGCTAAAGCACTTCAGTGAAGCATTTGTGAACCATGTGCCTCCCTTGGGATGTCTACAGATTTAAAGCTTTTCTTATTTATAACTTACAATTTTAATTCATCAAATGTTAGCTGTTGGGTAAAGTGCCTTGTTCCTTAAGTTTCAGCCTCTGAACAAATGACAGTAAGCTACTCTACAGCCCATCACTGTTATTGCCATAGCTGTGGTTTATCCTCTTGTAGACGCTTATCTACCTACATGTCACCCAAGCTTTATAAAACAAGGTCAAACTCAAAGAAAAGCTTGTGTTTTACATTTCCGTTGCTACTGTTCACTCCAGCACACATACCTGCGTTTTGGGGAGGAGAAGCTAGAGACCAGACGCAAGCTCTAATTGGTATTCTGATTCCCACACAAAATGCATCACATGAGTTGCCCAGAACATTCCAGACATGTGGCAAGCACCACCAGGTAGAGGTCCGAAGGTGGCCTTTGATACATTGGCAGCACCGAATGACAGCTCAGGAGAAATGAAGGAGGTGAAAGGACTTCTCTGCAGGGAGACCGGTTTGCACTGGCAGCAGATCTGATGCTTGCCAAGGTAGGTACAGGATTATTTAAAGCTACAGGGGTTCCACTTGCCAATCCAGCATGGCCTTGACCAAGTTATTTCACTCTCCTAGGCCTCAGCTGCCACATCCGTAAACTGCAGTCTGTAACTGTGCCTGCCTCAGAGGACAGGTAGGAAAATTGGATTGTGTGTGGGAGGTTAAAACAGGGCTGGGCACAGAGGGCACCCTCTCAGCTGTTTCACACCCACACAGCTGCTTTCTTCACACTCTGCCAGCAAGTGGCACTTATTTGCATGTCTGAAGAAACACTCTCAACTGGAAGTCTTGGCAGGGGTTCCTTTCTCCACCCTGTTGCCTCAAGCACTACCCGGAAGGTAACTTAGCCCTTCAGAAAATACGTTAATTCTATTGCTCCTTTGGCAAGGAGATGGCCTTTAGATCTTAAGGTTGCTAACCTAAACTTGATAAAGCGTAATGGTTGTCATTTAATTTTCTTAGAAGTGCTTGGGAGGTCAGAGGGAGTGAGGTTAAGTGTTCACTTCAATTACACATTGTAGAACATAGGATCTAGGAATACACCTCTGAAACAAGCCAATCGCCTATCAAACACAAACAAGGAAATAAATGCTCAAAGTCATCAGTGATCTCTGGGGCTTGTCCACTCTTCTGCCTAGTCAGCTCCCAGCCCTCCCCCACCTTGCAACCTGCCTGACCGCAGAAAGTAGTCCCATCTCCCCCTAGGATTTCCCTTTCACTGTGTCCCGCAGGACTTGATGTCCTCTGAGGCTTGACAACGTATAGCCCTCAAGGGAGGGCTGTCTCCTACACCCAGTTATGCATCCAGGGTCCAGTCTTGGTTTATCTATTATAGGAAAGGGAGGGGGATTTCATTCTGGGAACAGATGAATTCTGGAACTTAGCCAAAAACTGCCTCTTATCACCCCAATTTCCCTCATAAGGCAGAACTGACCACTGATGACAGACAATGTCTAGAGCCTTATTAATTATGCTAAAAGGTATGATTTCTAAAAATTTAAACCCTAGCCCATAATATCAAAGGAGAGAAAAATAAGGAGTTAGGGTGCCAGGTTTTCATAGGTTTAATGGGGCTTAAAAGATTAAGTGGAAAAGATTGTCAATGATGCAGGGCCAGCATCACAACCAAATCACACAGGAGTCACTCCTCCCCAACACCAGCAGCCCTGTGCCCGGCTGCCCCCCTCCCCTGATTCCAGCCACTAGGAGGGAGGCTGGGCCCAGAAACTCCCCTGATAGCAAATCCAAAACGCTCCCAACTAAAGTGGAAGACTGAGCATCTCATGAGTATGTTTACTGTACTCCACTGTGTTTCCTGAAAGGACTGAGAGTGTGTATATCAGGTGAGCCCTTTCGCCATGTAACAACTACCCCCAACACTTGGTGAAGATGAAACCGAATTACAGCCCAGTGCCCTAGGGAGGGTGCTATGCGAGGGCTGTAGTACATGTGTGCCCACCGCCTGGGTTTGATCCTGGCTCTGCCACTTTCTAGTTTGTGACCTTGGACAAGTTATTTGATATCCCTGGGCCTCAGTTTCTTCATCTCTAATGTAGAGGTACTAAGAGTATCTGCCTCCGTGGGTGGTTGGAGGTGTGAATGAATTTCACACAATAACTTTTTGAAGAGCACATGCCAAAGCACTTAAACGGGTGTTTGGCACAGGAATAAACTTTATATGTGTGTTAGCTATTATTAATACATAATTAATACAGAGGGTGCCAAAAAAATGTATACACGTTTTAAGCCTGGAAAAAAACTGTATTAAGATTGTAATACAATGAATGACGCTAGCATTCATTTGATTAAAGCCATCTTTTGAGCGAATGTCATACTACACATTGCCACCGTAATTCAATTCAACTTTGAAAAGTAATACGTAGATAACACCTCTTAAAATGTGTACATTTTTTTGGCACTCCGGGTCGGTCGTTGTCTTGTCGCGATAAGTATGTAAACGCACAAAGAAGTCAGCTGCAGCATCAACCCTGGGTCAGTGCCGAGACTATCTGTAAATCCATCTGCCCTTCCTCTCCGTGGCCAGTGCCATAAAGGGCCCGCAGCCCAGGGAACCCCCGCCCCCACCCCTGGATCTGTGCTCAGTGAGCACTGCTGGCTCCTTCTGCTCTGTAATTCCCTTTGCCGAGCCTTTTAGATGTCAAGGCTGTGGCTTCAGAGCTTATCCTTTCAAAAGTAGGAGGCTAAAAAAAAAAAATAGTGATTTGCAAAAGTATCAGTAGAGTTTTTCCTTGGTTGTGTGAAGCTGAGGCCAAAGTTACTGATGTTGTTCTTTGGGGGGCTGACTCTGGAAATGGTCATTTATTCTGCAAAGCCCAAGGGGACCAAAAGGAATTTCTGGGCATTCCATGAGGGAAAGAAGTGGCAGGTGTTGTCACATTTCATCTTCGTCTATGCCACTGCTTCCAAACTTTGTCCCAGCCCAGAAGCCAAGGATGAAGTTACAGAAAATGAAGAACAATGCAGAAAACAGATGGCACCCTCAAAGCATAGAAGACCAATAGACTTGGGACAGACTCAGACTCCTGGAGTGTTAGTGCTGGAAGGAATCTTAGAAATGCAATGCTCATTTTATAGATATATAAGCTAAGGCCATGAGAGGTTAAGGACTTACCAAGGACAGTCAACTAGTGACAGCCAGGGAAAAGAACCAACGTGTCCAACAACACAAAGTGCCATAGGTTTCAGTGTGAGAATAACAGGGGGAAGAAGGTCACTTGGCAGTTCCCTAAGGTGACAGAGGGCGTCCCAGGCTGTCCTTGAGGTTCTTCTCACTTTCCTCTTAATCTGCTCTGTGACCTCAGTCAAGGTCACTGCTTAAAGTACTAAAGCTTTTGCTAAATAATAAGGAATTACTGGGGGAAATTGATGTGTACAAGGACTCCTATGGGACTTACCACAGCAGCAGCAGCAGCAGCGTGTGTGTGTGTGTGTGTGTGTGTGTGTGTGTGTGTGTGTGTGTGTGTGTATGAGAGAGAGAGAGAGAGAGAGAGAGAGAGAGAGAGAGATTGAGAATGAGAATGAATATCTAGGCCAGGCCCCAAGGGCAGCCCAGTGAAGTCTTGATGCAACAGCCACTGTGATAAAAGCAAGTACAGGAATGACAGCCACCCACCTACAGTGACCTGGACAGGCTCCGTGTTCTGGGTCTGTCTCTCTTCACTTTCAGAGGCATTCTGGGCCTCAGTCAAGTTGTTTCTCTTCTTAATATGGGCAACCACGAAGAAACACAAGCCCACGAGCACAATTAAGGGTCCCATGATCTGCAGGGACAGGAATCCACAGATCTGGGGCTCTTCGTTGGCAGTGTCTGTCTCATTCAGGGGTTCCTTCTCCCAGTCTGAGTCACATCCAGGGACCCAAATGCCCAGTATGCTGATGAGCATGCCACTGGTCAAGAACAGAAACCCAAAGATGAGGCACTGGGCAAATTGGCGGCTCTCTCCACAGAGGAAGGCTCGGTCAGGGTCTGCCTGGTTGCCTCGCAGGTGTCCCTCCCGGAAATGAAGTAGTGCCCGGGAACGGGCCAGGATCACAGCCCCAAGCCCAACTGCCGCACACGCAGGCCCAGCAACCTTCAGCACCATACTGCAGTCTGGGATGGTTTCGTATTGGCATGCCTGGAACCCAAAGATGGAAAGCAGAACTCCCACAAACAACAGGATGGCGCCAAACACGAAAAGGAAGAAAATGAGCTTGCTGACATGCCTATCTGGCTGGACCTCATCTGGCTCAGCTGCTGCAGGAGACATGGCCAGAAGAGGCCCCTTCCCCGGAGAAGGGTGAGGTGTGTTTCCTTCCCTCCAATGGTTTCAACAGCTCTGCAAATATAACAAAACACCAAATTAAAGTGGGCATAGGTGTGCCGGACCCACCCTATTCTTCCGCAGGCCACTTCAGAAATCACACCAGGATGAACTCATAGGGAATAGAACTTTACCCAACGAATACACTGTAGAACAATGAGTTGGTTTATGAGTCAGAAAGACTGGCATTCAGAAACTCCTCAATATTTAAATTCATGAAGATATTCAAAAAGAGGAAATGCAATTACCATGCACACAAGAGTATCTTTAAGAGTATCTTTAAGAAAACAAAACCCCTCACAGGGATGTAAAATACAGCACAGGGAATATAGTCAATAATATGTAATAACTATTTATAGTTGTCCAGTGAGTACTAGACTTATGGGGGGGATCACTTTGTAGGTTATATAAATGTCTAACCACTATGTTGCACACCTAAAACTAATATAATATTGAATGTGAACTGTAATTGAAAAATAAAAATATTTTAATTAAATTTAAAAAAACATACAACAAAAGTAACTGGGTGTGGCTTTTCCTGTTCTGAGTCTTAAAAACTCACTCTCCCAAGGAAAAAAACAATGGCAAGTGAGGGAAGAACCACAGGGATTATTTTTTATTTATAGACAGCCCTCATTTATTTCATGACAGCTTCTCGGAGCATTTCCACATCGGTAAATTTTCGTCCAGTAACTAACTTTCCATTTCCTGTTTTAGACCTCGGCACTTTCCATGCCATGCTTTATTCTAAGGCTACATCTACAGGAGACCCAAGTTTAGTCATTTCAGCTGAATGATGGGAAGGAGGCTCAAGAACACAATGGGTTTGGTGGATACCAAATTAAGTCTGTCAAAATGTGATAATCTTGAGTTCCCAAACAGGCACACACTGGGGCTGCCTTGGCCGGAAACCTGGTGGCCCAGCTGCTTGGGCCTGGAATGACCCAGGGGACTGTGGCACAGCAGGTCAGGTAGAGCCTTGTCTCCCAGGAAGGCGGGGAGCCTCTCGCTCACCCTCCTCTGTGGTGCCACCCACTTCCACAGAGAGGTTTAAGCTGTTAAAAATACACAGCTGATAAAATCACCAGCTACAAAGCACTAAACAGAAATAGGACTTGACTTTGAAAGAAGAGTATAAGTGAAATCAAATGGGAAAGCACCTTCCAGAAGTTCACCCAAGCCCTGTACTTCAAGGGTATCATATATTAAATGCACCACCGAGCAGTTGTTAAAGAGTTGACTAGTGTATACGGACTGACTTTATTACTTAGTTATCTTATTTACTCTAATGAATGGGATAGTTGACCAGGAACTTTCAAGTTGGGCACTTGGAAAGACAACCCAAGTGTGAAGACTATTTTCATTGCTCAAGGAAAGAAAAACTTTTAAAATATCTTGTGCCTTTTGCATCCATGGTCACATGAAGGAGCTCAAAACCGAGGCTCTAAAGCCAAGGCCACCTTGACAAACCCAAATCATGACCAAGTAGGGTCAGTTTAGGTCAAGAGAACAAACAGCAGGTTTACTAGGAAGTACTTTTCCAGGAAAAAGTAGGATAGAATCAGAAGGAAGTTGAAGAAAGCAGGAAAGGTAGGAGGGAAGTTAAGTTTTCATTTTAAACTTGGACAAACTATATTTATAAAGATGCAATTAAGCTGAGACAAAGACAGCATTGCACTAATATGTTTTTTAATTTCTGAATCATGTAACCTCTCTTGCTGGTTCCAGAGATAATGGTGATTCTCTGCTACAAAATCCTATCAGGAATTCACTGTATTCCTGGCACCTTCAACTTTGAAGTGAGTCACAAGGCTTCAACAGTCTAAAGGCAGATTCCCAAATACTAGTAAAGAAAACAGAAGCTAAAACTGGATTTGTAGCTTCTTTTCCATGGACTAGTGGACTAAACACCTGGCATGTTCTAATTCCTGATCCAAAATAGTGTGTTGGTTCTCTCTCTCTCTCTCTCTCTCTCTCTCTGATGCACCCACAAACGGACACATAGACATCTACACTAATAGAAAATTAAACCTTTTCCAAATACCAGTCTACGCTTAATTTCCCCAAAGCCACATTCGCCTCCCCAACATTCTATCAGTTTTCCAAAGGACCTTTCCAAATCAGCAGCACCTAACTACATCCAGTGCCTTTGGGGAGCCAGGCAAAGAGAAGCAAATGTCTTTCATGGGAAGTATTCAGTTTCGTGGGTTTCAGGGAGCCCTAGCGCAACAGCCCGACGCGGCTGGGCGCGTGGCTCCCACGGGCACAGGGTAGCGCTCGGTTCTCAGCGCGGGCGCCGCTCCTCGCACCAAGCCTGGGCCGCAACACCACAGCTCCCGGCCCCGCGGCGCGTGAGCGCAGGTTTCCCGGCCGCAGAGATGCGGGGGCCAGAGGCCGCTTACCTGAGGCTTCGCCCTGCGTGCGCCCTGCCTGCGCCCGTACGCGTCCCGGGAGCCTGGCGCGGGCCTCGGGGTCGGCGCTTGACTGGGCAGCGCTCACCAGGGACAGCGGGCTGGGCGCAGGTCCGCACCGCACCCTCCCACCTGCGCGTCCGGGCGCGGAGGGCGGGCCGCCACTGTATTTACAGGAGGAGGCGGTGCCGGCAGGGCGCGGCGGCCTGGGGAACCGCGAGCAGGGCAGGGCAGGGCAGGGCAGGCTGGCGGGAGCTGGCCGCCACCGGGTGCTGCCCTTCGGTGGCTGGGAGCGCGCCTGGCGTGACAGTGCACTGCGAGCCACGGCCTCACGGCCCAGGGCTGGCGAACTTGGCCGCTTCCCCGCGGGTCACCGTGCGCGCGTGGAATCCAGGGAAAATGGGTAGCCCTGCCGTCTCCCGGGCCCGCAGCCCTAGGAGAGTCGGGGCAGCGAGTTGGGGTTCTCCTGGCTGTCGGAACTGCGCGTAGCGGCGACCGAGATCGTGGCGGCGGGAAGGGAGCCAGTTCCCCGCGGGGCTAGGGCCCAGGATTCGGGGCGGGGGGGGGGGGGAGTGAGAAAAGGAAGCATGTGACGCCCTACCGGAGTCGCCGCGGCCCAGGTGGAATGGGGTCCCCGCCTTCCCGCCGCCGCGCTGTCGGCCACCGCGCGACATGGGGAAGTTCCACCCAGTGGCCGCGCGGCCCTCCTGCCTGCCACTCCACAGACTGACTTGAGGTCACTGGAGCAAGTCCCTTGCTGCGAGCTCCCCAACGAACAGGTTATGGAGACACCAGGTCACAGAAAAGTGCTCTCTATTAGAATGTGAGGCAAGGGTCCCCCATACCCTAGCAGTTCAGACGAGAAACACTAGCTCCCAGACTGAAGTGCACCCCTGGCCGACTCCGTGCAGGGTCACCTCTGCCCCTTCCTCACTCACAGGCATGCTCACAGCCCTCCTTGGAGGTAGAACCCCTTTCCCGGTTCTCAATCGCTAATGATCCGCGGGAATTAAACTGGTAACTTTCCCTGCCCTTGAACCACGAGTTTCAGGAGGGTGTTGCTAATCCCCGTGCTGTTTGTAACCTGCCCCGTGACACGTGACACGGATCCAAGTGTGCCAGTTTCCACACCAGACGTCAGGGTGCTGTGGAAGGTAAGTGAAGGGCTCCAGGAGCCCGGGGGGACATCCCCATCCCTGCCACTGCTCCCTCGTTTCCTGCCTACTTTGCCTGAAACACAGTTGCATTAACCTTTTAAAAGTATTAGCACTTTGCATACATAATAGAGCAAGTTGTTCCCAGTAGGTTTCGCTGAGGAGGTGAGCTGGGTTTTAGCCAATTACCAGAGGTGAGAAGCGGACTTTCAAAGAAGGCGGCAGAGGGAGGCAAAGAGGGAAGGGTGGTTAGCTGGGCTCTGAGGGCTGGAGGGCTAGGTGGTGAGATGGGGCTTCACAGGGGAGGCATACTAGACAAGTTCCAGCATTGGAATTTTCTGGTGACACTTGCCACAGTGGCCAAATGTGGCCTTTTTCACAGTTAGCATGCCCTGGCCTCTGTGAATCTCTGCCCTAACTGAAGGAGCGCTGGTTATGACTATAATAAAGAACGCTAACATCATGACCCCATGCTCCTGCCAGGTTCTGTGTTACCCGCTTTACCTTTTGGCCCTTTACTGTGTATCTCCAGCATCTCAGAGAAAGTTGGAGCCAGAAGGGAATAGGGAAGCTAAAAACAGCCTTTTTTCAGTTGAGGAAACTGAGGCGCAAAGACGTAAAGTGAGTCCATAGCTGGTTAATGTGAACCAGATGTATTGCCTCTTCAATGTTCCTCCTGGGTACACCTGTCAGCCAGCAGACACACAACGCCACAAGCTCAGAAAATGGCTTTCTCTTACGTGGCTTTTACAGACACTGTATCCCAAGGATATTGCAGCAATCTGTGTCTAGGGTGGAGATAATCCTGAGCAAAGCGTCAGGATATACCACCTTTTGGGCGGGACTCAAAGTACACCTAGCTAACAAGCAGATAGCCTTACAGTGGTGATTGCACAGCCCTGACACTGGGCTTTCTAAAACGGCAGGCCTGAACTATAGAATTCGCCCTTTCTCCATAGGCCTGCTAACAACACCTAATTAAAACTCACTCTCTGGTCCTGTGGTGTGCGGACCTGTAAAGGAACCTGTTGATACAGCTGCCCCTCTGGTGCCACATGACTGCGGGCTGGCCACACATGACAGACTTGAATGTACTGGCACCAAGGACAATCAGATTAGCTCCCACTTGGAATATCTGCTGCTTGGACTGTTTGTGTCTTTTGGAGCCTATTTGACTAAATTAAAATCCATGGCAACCAATCATGGGTCAAAGACATACCCACCAGCATTCAAGGTGCTTGTCTTGGTAGCAGACCTATTCTTAGGAATTAGCCTGGATGATTTTGTCATTATCTAAAGCCAAGTGGCCTTTTCCAGCCTGTGTGGTAGTGAAAAACAGATAAGCCCAGACAGAATCCTTAGAGAAATAGCCTCAGAACAAACTTAAAACATGGATGAACCTTGAATCCAGGAAGTAACTACAGAGGGTTAAGCCAAGGCAAGCATTCATTTATTCATTCGGTGAATATTTGAGTGCTAACCATGTGCCAGTAAATAAAACAGAAAATCCTTTGCCCATGTGGGACTTCCATTTTAATGAGGAGAAAGACAGTAAAAGAAACATGTAAATTATATAGAGTATTAGAAGGCCTAAGTGCTATGGAGAATCAGAAATCACACAAGGAAACTGGGGAGTTCTGGGGAGATTTCAATTTCAATAGGGTAGTTAAGGAAGTTATCTCTGAGAAGGTGACATTGCAGCAAAATGCGAAGGGAATGAGGAAGCAAGCATATTGATATACTATTATTGCATAACAAATTACCCCCAAATTTAGAAGCTTAAAACAACACAGATTTATTTTCTCTCTCAGTTTCTGAAGGTCAGGGTCTGGGAGTAGCTTAGTTGGTAGTTCCGACTCAGGATCTCTCAGTCAAGCTGTTGGCTGAGGCTACACGGATGACCTGAAGATCTGACTGGGGTGGTTCCAAGGTGGCTCAGTCCCACTGCTGTGGGCAAGAGGCCTCAGCATCTCACCCTGTGGACCTACCCACAGAGCCACCTGAGTGTCCTCATGATGTGGCAGCTGGCTCCCCCTAGAGTGAGTGACACAAGAGAGAACAAATGAGGCGGAAGCTGCAATGCCTTTTATGACCTAGACTCTGAAGTCCCATACCATCCCTTCTGCTGTACTCTCCTCCTTAAATTGAGTCGCTAAGTCAAGGCGAGGGGAATTAGGCTCCACCTCTTGAAGGGGGGTGTATCAAAGAATTTGTGAATGTATTTTAAAACTATCACAGAGGGCTGGCCGAGTGTCGCGATGGTTAAGAACTGGCTTGGGACGTCAGAGGGCCCCAGTTCGGGTCCCACATATGAGGGCCAGTGACACTGCCCTCTACAGGTAAGATGCTGAACAACAGCTCGACCTGGAGCTGGGCTGCTGTGAGTCGCCTGAGAGGGCGTAGGCTGCAGCCCCTGTGGCAGTGGGTTGCCATGGGCTACCGTATGTAGCCAGCAGCCAGCGTGAGCGGCCAGCAGCCGCAGTGAGCTGCCGTCCAGAAGCCGGCGACTGATCTGCCTCGCCCAGAAAGAGCGCAATGATGGTGCCAACTTGGGCCAGTGAAGCAACGTCCTCCACAACTAGATTGAAGAACAAAACGACAGCAACTTCTCTGTTCCCCTTCCCCAATACCCCAGCACTGTTCCCATACCCCCAATTCCCCAATAAAACTCTTAAAAAAAAAAACTATCACAGAGAACTATGATGATAGTCTGGGGAAGAAGGGAAGAGCACTTCAAGCAGAGGAAACGGGGAGTTGAGTGCAAAGGCCCTGAGGCAGCAGGAGGTGTATTTAAAGAAGAACTTGAGGCCAGGGTGGCTGGAGCAGGTGAGCAAGGGGAAGAGGACTAGGAAGGGGGGTCAGGGAGGGGAGGTGTGTGTGGCCCCATGCATGGGGCTTCTTGGGCCATTATAAGTGCTCTGAGTGAGATGGGAATCCCCTGGAGGGTTTTTTGTTTTGTTTTTAGCAGAGTGTGATGTGATTTGACTTATTTTTTTAAAAGACAACAGTGGCTTGTGGGTGAGAATAGCCTGAGGAGGAGAAAGGGTGGAAGGGAAGAGGCCATTTAGGAGGCAATTATAATAACCCAGGAGAGAGATGACAGTGGCTTGTGTTTGGAGGCGATAAAAGCAATTGGATTCTGAATAGATCTTGAAGATGGAGTCGACAGGGTTTTCCATGGACTGGATGTGGGTTTCGACTCCAACCAAGGCTTTGGCCTGAGGAGCTGGAAGGATGGTTCTGGAATTGACCAAGATGGGGAAGACGAAGGGCAGGACAAGTCTGGGGGGAAGTTTCAGAGTTCAGTTTGGGGCACATTTAACTTTGTGATGTCCACTAGACATCTGAGTGGAGAAGCCGAGTAGGCAATTGAATACACTTGCCTGGAGTTCAGGAATTCTGGAAGGGATACTTTCCTATGGTCTGTCAGCAATGTTTTATTGCAACATCAAGAAGGCTGGCCCCACCTCTGGAAGAGTTGACACGTGCCTGTGTCCCTACACCTGCCTCGAAACAACCAGTGCTACTGAGACCTCCAAGTAGTCACAAAGCAAGGGGCAGACTGGTGCCAACCAAGTGAGGGGTCAGATGTTTCCAGAGGGCATAGGACAGCTGACACAGCTGGGAGGGATGAGATTCTGCTGGTGCAGGGGCTCTTGCTGCCCTAAGGAACATGCGTCCTTCACTCCCACAAGACAGGCCATGTGACACTCCCCAGGGCACTGTCAACCTGGAGAAGAAGTTCTGGGCAAGGGGCGTGTATTGGCTTGCAGAATTCACTTTCGCCATTTTCAAGATTCACAAGATTACAGAAAGACAATCAATCATCAAGTCTGCCAGCTTCTAGTTTCTTTTCCTTTTTGGTCTCTGCACTTAGAAGCGTGCATTCCTCTCTTCCAGCTCCTGACATTTCCTGAGACTCCACTGGGACTGCTGTGCAGGAATTAGTTCTCCAGTGCTTGGTCTTGGGTCGATGTTTCAACAAGTATTCCCAGGACTGCCAGCGATGCCTCTGAACTTAGCTGGGCCCGATGCAGCTGCCTACCTCCGAAAAGGGTGCTGTGGTCAGAGGAGGCCAAGGTTCCTGGGGCGTTTTCTTCCTCCCCCACACCTATGTTGGACTTTGACCCAGGGGTCTGAGAGACATGTCTGGAGTAGGATTGACTGATTTGACAAGCTTGAGTCTGACCCCTTAGCTGACCCCCAGGGCAACTAATCTTTTGCAGAGTCATTTTATTGCCTGGGGTGGTGCTGTTGATTTTGCAAGGTTTATAACAGCCCAGCTTGAGAGCAGCTCGCTGGAGCCAGGGGTAGGGGATGCAAGGAGTTATTTTCAAAGAGAGTGAGGATGTGCC